GCCGCTTCGACACGGCCTTCTTCCTGTGCTGCCTGCGCGACCCGCCGCCCGTCTGCCCGGACTTGAGCGAGGTGGTGGGCTACCAGGTAGGGCGTCCTCTCGGGACCCCGGCCTGCGGCCAGTACCCGTCCACAACCTCCGGGTCAGGGCCTGCAGCCCGTAAGTGACTGAGCGGCCCCCCAGCCCCGCGGGCCAAAACCAGGGTTTTCCGCGGCTTCACGGCCCCAGGGCCTCGACTCTGTCGCCCCCGCGGGCGCCGCTGCGGGGATCCCAGGGGCGAGCAGACCACCTGTTAGGCTCCAGGCTCCCTCCTAAGCACTTGACGCACAGTAAGTCCTTTCACCTCCACAGCAGTCTAATTCTCTTTTCTCCGAGAGCATAATCTGTGTGATTTAAATCTTTTTAAATTCATTGAGACTTGGCCACATGTATGGTCTGTTCTGGTGGATTGTACCTTTTGCGCCTAAAAAGAATATTCTGTGTTTGAGGGAGTGTTTGTAAAAATGGCAATTAGGTCAGATTCCTTGATAGTGGCTTTCGGGTCTTCCGTATTTGCTCCACCGAGTACTGTGCTGAATGCTTAAAACTTCAGCGAATAGTTGTGGATTCGTCTTTTTTCAGTTCGATCAGGATTTGCTGTATGTATTTTAGAGCCCTTGTAGGGTGCTACCTAGACGTTTAGGGCTGTTAGCTCTTGGTGGATGGACCCTTTGATTATTATGAATTCTCCTTCTTTACCCCTGGTAATATTCCACATTCTGACATCTGAAGTTTATCTGGTAAAATATAGCCACTCTGCCTTTCATTTGATTAGCAATTGCATAGTAGCATAGTATATCTCTTTACATCCTTTACTTGTAACCTATCTGTGTCTTTAAAGTGTGTTTCTCTCTCTTTTTTTATTTCTCACCCAAGAACATTTTCATTGCTTTTTAGAGAGAGAGGAAGGCAAAGAGAGAGAAAGAGAGAAACATTCATGTGAGAGATGTGAGAGAAAAACATCAATTGGTTGCCTCCTGCATGTGCCCCAGCTAGGGCCAGGAATTGAACCTCCAACCTAGGTATGTGAGAATCGAACCCATGATCCTTTGGTGTAGTAGGGGATGACAACTGAGCCACCGGCCAGGGCTCTTTTTTTTATTTAATATGTTTTTATTGATTTTTGAGAGAGAGGAAGGGAGAGGGAGAGAGGGAAAACCACTGTGAGGGAGAAGCATGGATCCGTTGCCTCCTGTTCGTACCCTGACGGGGGATTGAACCCGCAACCTGGGTGTGTGCTCTGACCAGGAATCAAATCCATGACCTTTTTTGGTGCATGGGAGTATGCTCAACCGACTGAGCCACACTGGCCAGGTCCAATATGACAATTCCAGTCTTTTAATTGGCGTACTTAGATCATTTCTATTTAATATAGTTATCATTAAGGTTAGATTCAAGTCTGCTATTTTCTGGGACTCTAGTTACATGTATGTTGGACTACTTGAAAATGTCTCATTGGTCACTCATAACTTGTTCATTTTTTTCAATCTTTTTTTCTCTTCATGCTTTATTTTGAATAGATTCTATTGCTGTTTTCAAATTCTCTGTTTTTTTATGTAGTACCTAATCTGTAAATACCATCCAGTGTGTTTTTTATTTCAGATACTTTTCAACTCTAGAAATTTCATTTAGTTCCTTTAAAATATATTCGATTTCTCTCATCATGTTCATATTTTCCTTTACATCTCATACTTGTACAATGGCTTAAGGCCCTTTTTTGTTAATTTCATCATCTCCGTTTCTGTTGACAGATTTTCCCTCTAGTTATGGGTCATATTTTCCTCTTTTGTGGTGGGTCTTGGAATTTTTGATTGGATGTTGGACATTGTGATTTTCAGTTGGATTTTGTTATATTCCTTTAAGGATTGTTAGAGTTTTCGTGGCAGGAAGTTAAGCTATGGAAAATGAACTTGATCCTTTTGAGGTTTGTTTTTAAAGCGGTTTTAGGGTAGGTCTATAGTAGTCTTATTCTAGGGCTAATAGCTGCACTTCTAATGTGTGACCCTTTTGGGGTCTGCTAAACATCCCTTCTATTCAGTGAGGCCTTTCCACTGGGGTTGGAGGGAATTTGAAATATTTTTGGCCCTAGGTGAGCCCAGTTGTTGTCAGTCTTAAAGCTCTTAGGTATTGTTTTTTCTTAGGAATTGTCTTCCAGTGTCATGTGGTTTCACTTTATGCATTTGTAGATAAGTATTTAGTGAAGACTCGAGGGCACTCTGTACAGTACATATTTCTGGAGGTCTACCTTGTGTGGATCCCTCTTCTCAGGTGCATTGCCTTCCAGATTCTCGCCTATTATGGGTCTTCTCAAACCCTGGTCTTTGTCTCCTCAAGTCAGTGAGAATCATACACTCTGATTAGGTTCTCCCTTCTTGTGCTGTAGTCTGGGGATTACCTTTAGGAAGGAAACCTTGGCAACTCTTGGAACTCTACTGAGTTCACCTCATTTATTTTTCTTTTTTCACATACTACAATTCTGTATTTTCCAGTGTTCAAAATGGTGGTTTTATAGATTTTGTCCACTTACCTATTTTTTACATTATGTTGGGGGAAGGTAATATAGCACTTATGCCTGCAAGGGGAGGTTCCAATAAATAATTCTTAATGTGCTCTAGTCTAGTAGTTCTCAATAGGGGATTTGCCTATCCCACACCCAGGTACATTTGGCAATGTCTGGAGTCATTTTTGGTTGTCACAACTCAGGGACTTCTGCTGGCTTCTACTGGGTAGAGCCTAGGTATGCTGTTAAACAACCTTCAGTGCACAGGACAGCCTCCCACAACAAAGAATTATCTGGGCTAAAGTATCAATAGTTCCCAGGCTCTGAAACCTAGTGGAAACAGAATTGAATTTAGAGCCGGTCCCTACTCTCCACCCCAAGTTTGAAGCCCAGATTTTCTAGATAGAATAGCTGCCCAGGCCTCTTTATCTGTAAAATGACAGTATGCAGAGTTGATCTAAGGACTGGAAATGGTTTACATAAAGTATTTGAGCAGTGCTTTACTAGAAACAGTAACTAATATAAGGTAAGTTCTTTTAACCTATGGTCTGGACTAACCTGAACAGGTTGAATTAAGTGGGTTGATGCCTATTGTTTAACCCTTCATCTTGGTAATTGTCACTGAACTCACATAGAACTGATAAAGTAGAATACTTTGTAAATAACTTAAAGATTGGGTGGTCCTTTGAGGCCCAAGCTTTGTTTACAAAATGCAGCCAATTTAAGAATAATCTGGGCTACTTGTTAAACATAGATTTCTGGGCCCTATAGACTGAAGATTTAACAAGTTTCTTAGGGGATGTTTAAGCACATACAAGCTTGTAAACCTTTGGCCCATAGTTATCCAAGGCAGAAATCAATTTTAGCTCCCTGGGTTTGGGCATGGGAATCAGTTTTCCCCAGTGTAAGTGGGTATTTTGTAAACCAGTTAAAAAAGACCTTTTGGGGTTATTCCATATTCACTGAATCAGCTTTTTTAAAAATCCAAATGTATATGGAAGAAAGCTTGAGAAGGGAGGGTAAGTCACAGCACGGAGGCCACTTAAGTTAAATGGGCAAACACTGGCTGGTTGATGCCATGATATTATTACATTCTGGGGTTGTAGACTGAGTTATGCTCTTGACCTTCCTCAAAGCTCCTACTGCTCCTCTTTACCCCATTATAACATGTACACAGCATGCTACAGTTTGGTTATGGAAGGCTCCATAGGGCCTGAGAGAGCTTTTCTTGTCCACTACCACCACATCCTCAGGGCCTAGCCAAGGCACCTATTTATGGGAGGAACAAATGGGCACTAAGTTCTCAAGTCGGCTGCCATGAGTTTACACTTCAGAGTCTTTGCGCTTTGGGGAATGACCAGAACTACTTCGCCTTCTCAGTATCTCCTGTCCTTTATGCTGAATGACTCTCAACTCTTGGTGATCTATCCTGGTTTATTTACTAGTTCTCAGGGTCAGTATCCCAATAATCAACGTCTGAAGGAGATCAACCTAGCTTTCTTCATCAAACCTTTTCATGTTGTCCCAGGAATCTAGCAAGGCACACTAATGACTTAACTTTATATCTTCAATTAGATCTTAGGTACTGATCTAACCATCTCAAATCTTGTATTATCTATGGAATAAACCTTAGGAAACCCTACCTTTGTCTTCCACAGTGGTCATCTCCGTTAGAGGCAACTGAAAGTTTCATATCAAAAGAAATTTGGTTGGCACCCCCACAGTTCTATGAAATAAGAAGACTCGAAAACTTTGCCTCTCTCTCTGACTTGCACAAATTTTGTTTGGATCATGTATTAGAAGGGGTGGAAAGATGGATGCCGATCATGTTATTAACTGCTGATGGGCTCATCTCGCTTTTACCAGGTAAATCAGTGAAGCATCAATGTATTCCCATTTCATTCACTGGGCTATATGGCAGTATTGCCCAACACAGAGGCACGGTTTACAGTCTGTTTTACTACAGTGGCATTATTGTAATAAGATCAAAGTCATATTCATAATGTTTATTATAACCAGAAGTTCTAAGTTACTTTATATATACACGTACACATTTATGTAAATATATTCCCAAGACATTGACAGGGTGCTTTCATATTATTTTACTTTTTTACATTTTAATTTTGAATTATGAGAACTTGTAAATTGTCAGCTTATTTGAATTAGGGAGTTTGCTGGTGGTCAGTTGTTGTTGGGCACGTATAAGATGGAGGTTTTGTGGCAGTTTAGCGTGGGGCTTTATGACCAGTCTCACTTATGGCTACATGTCTCAGTTCTCACAATAGTGATAATATTTGTTACTCACTCTATAGTGGGAGAATTTAGCAATTTTGATGTATAAATGATAATTTATGAAATTTAATCTTAAAATTATTAGAGCAGTCCACATTGAAACACCAAAAATATATGGACAAGGCCAATGTTTTCACTAGGATAAAAAGAGCCATGAACTATGTAAAAGTTATAGTTTATGATGAAAAAAATACCAGTCATAAGTATTCATGTGCCCAAAGAAAATTCTTGGCTGGGGAATGGGAAGCTAGGGAATATGGGTATTAAAAACACAAGAAAGAAACTGAGGTAAGCTCATAAAATTAGGGTTATTTAACAACTATCTCAGTTCTAAGCACATAAAATAGATTTTTAAAAGCTGATTTATATGTCACTAATATATTGGAATGTTCTATCAAATAACACTTTGTGGAATTAAAATGTTATTTTTCAGGAGATGAGCTGTACTTAGAAGATTCAAAGTTCTTAGAAAATATTTTGTCCACTGAAAAAAAGACTGAAGAAATCATGAAGGAAGGCAAGAAATTTCACCGAGTCGTGATGTATAATAGTGGCCGTATTTATGGTATCCTCGTGACTGTTCAGCCCAAGTATAAACATGTTTATCCTAAGACCTATGTAGTAAGTAAGAGCCATTTGTAGTGTATTGCTTATTTGTAAGCTGGTCTACTTGAACTTGTCCTAATAAATAATGAGGGATAATAAGACTTGCTTGGAACTTGAACTTTGTGCCTGTAAGAGTTATAGTACAGTCTTTCTTATTTGAAGTGTATTGTGGAGTTCTCTTGCTTATTTTAAACCTTACAGTGTCACATAAGTATGAAGTATTCATGATCTTTTTACTGAAATGAAAAAAAAAAAATTCACAATGATTTCCATTTCTGTATTATAGTTTTATTATCAAAAGTTTAAATAAACTGTTGTATTGTCATTTTCTTTTAAATGTCCAGTGTATTAGCATTTTCCTTGATGTGCTTAGGAGATTGATCCCTGGATTCCTTAGACTTTCTGCTGAACTTAATTTAAGGGTGTCTGATTACATGATAACAAGACACTTACAACCTTTGAGTGACAATGTCATTATTTTTTTAAGTCTTTAGCTTGATGATTAATGTACAATTCTTTTGAAAACCAAATGGTATTAGTTATTTATTAGGTTTACCAAATTGGAAATCTATCTTAGTTAATATTTTAAAGAAATATGAAGCCATATCAAAAGCTGTAAATTTTAACTCGAGTGCTAGTTAATGAAACAAAGAGGTTAGAGGGATGTAGAATTATTCATCATTTAATGGTATTTAGTAGTGATGTTTATTTTCATTATTTTTAACATGGGTAAGTTTTTCACCTCTTAAGGGGAATAATATTGATTAAAGATGAGAAATGGTTAAGACACCAATTGTATTTAAGATCTTTGACTGTATTATGCATCATAAAATGGATTTCTTTTTTCATGAAATATCTTATTTTTTCTACTTACAAAATAGAGGTATTGATGAATTAAGTTGATGCGTATTATTTAATCCTGATTAGAGGAATATATTTAGATCAGTGGTTCTCAACCAAGGACACTTTTGCCTTTCAGGAGACGTTTGGCAGTGTCTGAAAACATTTTTGGTTGTCACAACTGAGAGTGAGATGCTACTCCCATCTAGTGGAAAGAGGACAGGGATGCAGTTAAATATCCCACAACAGGACAGTTGCCCACTGCAAAGAATTATCTGGCCAAGGTTGAGAAACTGATCTAGAATAAAACCTATTTTCTTCAGTAAATGATCCAAGGTGTAAATTTTGAGGACCATGGACACTGTTAGCATTCCATCTGCTTCTGAATCTATAAAAGTTCTTACTGACTTTTGGCCTTGGGTATGATATTCTTTTATTCTTACACAAAATGGAATGTTATATAGCTGGAAGAGACCTCAGTGAACACAAGTTTTGCTGATGACAAAACTGAGAAACAGGCTCACATAGCTAGTGCCACAGCCAAGAGTAGAACCTGATTCATTGTCAAGCAAGTGACATCTGTTGCCTGTCACCAAAAGCAGATAGCTGAACATTTTCTCCCACTGCATCTTGGTAGTATAGTCGCCAAGGAAACTGCAAAACAGCCAAGCCTCAAATGGAACAACGCTGTATACTCATGGAGAAGAGGCAGAGTGAGATCAGCTCTAGTAGTGCACATTGGTTCCCCCATGGCCGGCAGGTCCCCTCCCTACAGCCAACACAAGACAATTGGCATGCAGGTAGCTCTCTTGTGCTGCAGTAGAAGGACCTCATTTCTTCCCCATGGGACAGGCATAATAGTGGCATTGACCAGGTGCCATATGATGCACACACTTAAGCAGAAGAGCAAAGGAAACTGGAGTCTGAAACAGGAAAAGATTTACACACAAGGCATCTAGTCTACCACAGGCTATGACGACTCTTATCTTTTGGTAAGGAAAAGTGTTTCAGGCCCAAGGCTCATTCTTATGAGGCTGAGGGAAGGTCAAAAGACAGCATGCAAGGCACTGGCTTTCCCAACACTCCTAGCCCTGTGCCCTTCCCTGGAGCTCGATGGTTCAGTGGGTGATTTTAGGAGATGTAGTGAGAAAGTACAGTGGTACCTCGGTTTTTTAATGTAATCTGTTCTAGAAGACCGAGTTCTAAAATGTTCGAAAACCAAGGTATCACCAGCCAACAGCTAGGACTCAGGATCTTGCATCCAGCGGAAGCTGTGTGGCATGTTCGACCTCCGAGGCGTGTTCGAAAACCAAAGCATTTACATCCAGGTTTATGGTGTTCATAAACCGAAATGTTTGTCAATGGAAATGTTGGAAAACCGAGGTACCACTGTAGTATGACTGGTTTTTCTTCATAAAGATCTATTTTGTTTGTTTGTTTTGAATCTGAATGAACCTGTCTCCTTCCAAGAATTCCTTTAGGGAGACTGCCACATGACTTCCTACCTGTGGTGCTATCCTGACTCCCTCACCCCAAAATAGGGCTGCCCACATGAGCTGAAAAAATTGTTCTTTAGAACCCAGATTGCCAGTGTTTGTAGCATTTATCATGTGGTCTCCCGGACCTCATACATTTAAGCTACGTCAACCTCAGAAACAGAAGCAGAAAGCGATTCTTGTCCCTCTTCCTCCTAGTCACCTTCCTGCCCAAGCTGGTGTCCCTACTCCATACCATCTTGTCCAGGGCAGAGCCAGGAAAACCTGTTTTCTATAATACTGGACAATGTTTTGAAACTGCAGTTACAAACTCAGGAATAAATACTAAGTTGGTATACGTTTTCATTGCTTTCATTTTCTCGGATAATTTAGAATGCCAGTTAACCTAACGTGCACATCTCTGGGATGTGGGAGGAAACTGGAGTGCCTAGAGAAAACCCACCCAGACATGGGAACACATGCAAACTCCACAGACAGTCGCTCTGGCTGGGCATCAGTTTATTTTTTTTATCGATGTTATAGCGAGATCACGTTGAATGCAATGACATTTGAGAACCTGCTGTACTAGAAATCCTACTCAGAGCAATCTGTCAAGGAAAAAAAGTAAAAGGAATCAGAATTGGAAAGGAAGAGGTAAAATGGTCTCTATTTGCAGATGATGTGATTTTATATAGAAAACCCTAAAGACTTCACCCCAAAACTGTTATATCTGAACCATGAATTCAGTAAAATTGCAGGATACAAGATCAACATAATAAAAATCATTAATGTGCCCTGGCTGGGTAAATCAGTTGATTAGTGTCATCTCCATACACCAAAGTTGCAAGTTTGATCCCCAGTCAGGGCCCATACAAGAATCAACCAATGAATGCATAAATAAGTGGAACAACAAATCCACAAATCCATGTTTCTCTCTCCCCCCCCCTAAAATCAATAGATAAAAATTAAATCAGTAATGTTACTATACACTAACAGTGGTTTATCTGAAAAAGAAATAAGACAATTCCCTTCCAAATAGCAGTAAAACAGCCTTGGCTGGTGTGGCTCGGTTGAGCGTCATCCCTTGCACCGAAGGGTCCCCGGTTCAATTCCTGGTCAGGTCACAAGCACAGGTTGCAGGTTTGGTCCCTGATTGGGGTGTGTGTGGGAGGCAACCAATTGAAACACCTCTCTTACATTGATGTTTCTCTCTTCCTCTCCCTTCCTCTCTAAAAAACAAAAGCATTTTTTAAAAAAAGGAAAAAAATAAAATAGCATCAAAAACAATGAAATTCTTAGGAATAAATTTAACCAAGGAAGTGAAAGATCTCTATGCTGAAAACTTTAGACACTGACAGAGGAAATTGAAGAAGACACAAACAAATGAAAAGATATCTCATGTTCATGGATTGGAAGCATTAATATTGTTAAAATGTCCACACTACCCAAAACCATCTGTTCGTTTAATCCCTATCAAGATTTCAATGGTGCCCGGGCGGGCGTGGCTCAGCAGTTGAGCATCGACCTAGGATCCAGGAGATCGGGGTTTGATTCCCGGTCAGGGCACATGCCTGGGTTGAGGGCTTGATCCCCAGTCAGGGGTGTGCAGGAGGCAGCCGATCAATGACTCATCATTGATGTTTCTCTCTTCCTCTCCTTTCTTCTCTCTGAAATCAATAAAGATATATTTAAAAAAAAAAAAATTTCAATGGTTTCGCCTGGCTGGGCGTGGCTCAGCGGTTGAGGATCCACCTAGGATCCAGGAGATCAAGGTTTGATTCCCGGTCAGGGCACATGCCTGGGTTGCAGGCTAGGCCGCCGATCAATTACTCTCTCATCACTGATGTTTCTATCCCCCTCTCTCTCTCTGAAATCAATAAAGGTATATTAAAAATAGAGTCTTCTTTCATTGAATAACACAACATTGAACTATGAAAAGTACATTAGAAACAGGATAATCTAACAGATGTACAGTATTAGGGGGAAACATGAACAAGGCTTTCTCTGATGGACAGACCAAGTCCATAAAACATAAGTGAGGTGTCTGGAAAAAGCACTGGGCAGGCACCAGGCTTCTACCTTTGGGTTGAATGTATAATCGCAATACCCACTCCTTCTTAAGTAATGCAAAATGTCTAAGAAATAAAAAAGTTCTTAAAAATCAGCTGACAAACGATTAAGCTAGCTTTGGGGTCAAACTTGTTTTAAATTCTTTCTTTTTGTAAAAATGATGAGAATACTTTAAAACTGGGGAAGTATAGACTGCCTTTTAGAATTGATGACTATAGCCTGGATGGTGTGGCTCAGTGGTTGAGCTTTGACCCATGAACCAGGAGGTCACTGTTCGATTCCTGGTCGGGGCACACGCCCGGGTTTCAGGCTTGATCCCCGGCAGGGGGCGTGGAGGAGGCAGCCGATTGATGATTTTCTCTCCTCATTGATGTTTCTCTCTCCACTTTCCCTTCCTCTCCGTGAAATTAATAAAAACATTAGAACTGATGACTCCAAGGGAAGATGATTTGAACTACATTTGGGCAAGGAGAGAATCTGGGAAGGGAAAGAGGAAAAACATCCTCCTGGGCCCATTTTAGAGAATTATTCCGGTTCTGGAAAATTTACCAGCTTTCTCTACTCCTCCACCCCCCACTCCCCACCCCACCCATGACCACAGTGACAGGAGAGGTGAATCTGAGCAGACTGGAGGTTCTGGTTTCCAGACTCCCCAGACTCCCTTTCTCCTTTTTCTTGGGGGCTTGAAAGGTACTTTGGGGTACTTAGGGGTACCCAAAAAAGAACAGATTACTCTTTACCCAGGCCCTTTGCAGAACCAGAATATTATTCCTGTGATGAGAAATACTTTAACTTCTTAACACCTAACATCACCCCATGGTGCCGGCAAGAGACAGCCCACTCATGATAGCTTTTGGTTGCCTGCTGTGCCATGATCTAGCCATATTTGCGACTGACCAGTTTAAACCTTCTTGCATTACTGGAATAAGTGTTACAGCCCACTTGGCCATGGCTTAATGTTTGACTTTTATCTGTCCTGGGTTTTACTTAGTAGCATTTTATTTGGGATTTCAGCACCTATATTGATAAATGAAATTAACCTGTAGCTCTTTGTGTTATCTTTGTCAGGTTTTACTACTAGGATTTAACTGCCTTATAAAAATGCATTGATAATTTTTTTTTTTTTAAATTGATTTCTGAGGGAGGAAGGGAGAGGGAGATAGAGACAGAAACATCACTGATGAAGAGAATCATCAATCAGCTGACTCTTGCATGCCTGGGATTGAGCCAGAAACCTGGGCATGTGCCCTGATGGGTTTGGAATCAAGACGTGATCTCCTGGTTCATGGGTTGGTTGATGAACAACCACTGAGCTACTCCAGCTGGGCTGCATTGATAATCTTTTAATTTTTTTATGCTGTGGAGTTTTTTTTATTGAGGTATAATTGACATATAACATTAATTTCAGGTGTACAACATAATGACTCAATATTTGTGTGTATATATATACATATATATAGTTGTTAATCATCCAAGGATATTTTTTCCACTGATTTTTAGAGAGAGTGGAAGG